GAGAGGAGAAGGGAAAAGGGGAAAGATGTCGGGGAGAAATGGTCGGAAAAAGGCGGAAAGAGGTCGTCCGCGTAATTCAGCCAAGTGTCGGAAAGCGCTTGCTTCAACTCTCTTTGGCATCAGGTATGATGCCATTTACAATAGAGGCTTGACTTCGCTCTCCATTTACCCTATCCTCTTCGCGCACCCTACTGATGACCCGCATCTATCAGGATTTTTACCGATTTTCTCCATCTCTTACTCATGCCAAGAGTGTATGACTTGCTTCGATCTTCGCTTTATATATCCTTTTCTTTGATTCGTTCCACACGTCGTGATATAATATCATTCAAAGCCGATCAAAATTAAATTATAATTCGAATGTACGTAAAATATACAATTTTTGTCAAGTCCCGAATCATTTGAAATTATTATGTTCCAAATGTTCGAAAATGGTCAATTTAATTGTTCATCAATTTGTTTCAAGTACGATTTTCCTAAACTTGATCCAACTACGTTTCAAAGTTTGAGCCATAAAAATTATATTAAATGTTCTTTGTTTGAAGTTTAAATTAACAGAACAGCTATTACACTTACCATTATCGTAATCTTCTGGTTTGCCAACATCGCTATCCGACGAAACTTCCGCTTTAGCTTCTGCAAGTCAAAAACAATTGCGCGCTCATGCAACATGCTACATTTAATCATATCTCATGCTTGTACAACTCGTACTAACAGAATTGATAAGTTTCATTGACTCAGACAATAGTTGAAATTGTTGTCGAATAAATAAATACATACCTCCATCTTTGGCAGCGCAAGCCAACGTTTCCATCTGTTCGTCATCACTCGACGAAGAGTAACGTTCGGTAGTCTCGTCGCCTATCAAGTTTAACATTAAATAAAATTATCATGCAACATTGACGCTATCTTAGTTTAACAGTAAATAAAATTATCATGCAACATCGACTATCGCGAAACTATGTAGAATTAAATTTATTTCAGTTGCAAAATAAAAAACTGTGTAAAAAGTATTCTCACATCGTTCACATGCGACAACAAACATGGAACAGAGAAACTGTTGAAAAACGTATTGCAATTATTAAAAATAGACGTTTATTAAAAATGGAAGATTATTACTTACCATTTGCTCGTTGACGTGCTTCTTCGAGAACGCTCTGTTTCGTTTGCTTGACAACCAACGTCTCGAAACGAGCATCATCCACTAAGGATCGTCGTCTCGCTGGATAACCATTCTAAACACACGAAACGATATGCCAATATTTAATCAAGAATATTTCACAACGTGCTACCGCGTTGAGCATACATATATATGCGTGTGTTTATAGAAATTTAACTCATTGCATATTAAATACGAAGCTAATCATCAATAAATATTTGTCATTAATTCAATTGTTCAATAGCAATTGTTAAATATTGATAAATTCAGGAATGTTGAAATAAAAATGACAATGATTTTTTACGATTTTTTATCGAAATAACACACATACTATAATTTACTAATTTTTGAATAAATAATTCCAAACCATGGAAGTTAATTTAACACGCAACAAGTTAAAGCTACGAAAATCTATAAAATGTCCAAAGCACATTATATGGATGAAACAAGATCTTTATTTAGATTTTCCATTTATTCAATTCAATTCACAGGAACACGAATTTGCATAAGACTCCTACAGACTGTATGATTAGAATCGCGTGTGAACTCCTTAAACGACGGATATCCTATTGGCGAGTGAAATCTCGATGCTCGAACTCTCCCTTTGCAGCGAATCAAAATTTACCTAACTCTGAGAAAATGGAGAGCAAGGTGGATAATTCTGATAAAGATTCGAAGGCGCGGAAATTAGCGGTCATCCGGCTGCTGTTGAAGGCCCGGAAATTAGCGAATCCCGACACAGAGAGCACAAAGCGTTTCGCGTTCCCACAAAGACCATCGTGCATCGTCTGATCCTTACAATTCGATTTTCTCTTTTGTTATCTGAGTGAAAGGAACTTCTTGGAAAAGGAAATTCTTTACTCTCGTTGAAAAAAAAAAAAAAATTCTAAAAATTTTCTCTACGACAAGAAAGTTCTTTACTCTTGCTGGGAAATTTTTCTATTGGCAAGGACGCTCTTTATTTCCTCGCTAGAATTTTTTATTTTTTTTAATTTACTAAAGAAAAGAAAGAAAACGGTTTGAAGACAGTTCGAAGAAGAAATTTGACGAAACACCGTTAGAAACTCTCGAACATTTGCGGATGCAATTAAACACATCATTCAAATTTAGAACGACCGCTTTTCATGAATGTCACAAGGTGGCATCGAGTTCCATTTTCCAAGCGTGCAAAGCGGTTGGCACGGTTTAGAGAAAACGTGTAGTAATCCCTTAACAACGCATCGCGCGAACTGGGCCAAGTACTTCGTCGATGGAACGGATAGATGACCGATGACTCTATCGGATCAATGCGTCACGCGACGATTAACTGGCTCAATGAAGAAAATACGATCGACTTTGACCAATATGATCCTTTCGCGTCGAGATTCGTGTTCTATTAATGCCCGACACTTTCAGTTAATTTGCCCCAATCGACAGATGTCGATTTATTTTCTACGATTTATTGAATAATACGTAAGTTATCTTCTGTTTCACGCATTAGCAATTGTATTTAATAAAAGAAAAAATCGCGAAATAAATCAAATATATAATTCTGT